TAACACAGATAAACTATATTGTCGCAGTCAGACATGTCCTCTTTTTGGTCCTACAAAAATGCGTCCGGCCGGGATTTCTTAATTTCCGAAAATGTCCGGGATTCGGCTGTTTTCTTAATCCCACTCCTGCTGATTTCATCTTCATTTGACCCTCTAACTCTAGCACTCTATTCTAATGCTACTTCTAATTTTATCTGCTTGTTTTTTTTTTAATTAAAAAACTTGACCCTCTAACATTTGCACTCTCTATTCTATTTCTATTCTAAAAAAAGAGCCTCTAACACTAGCATTCTCAATTCTTTCTCTATTCTTTCCACTTATTTTCTTTTTTTATTTATTATAAATAATGACCTTGTAACACTAGCATTATCTGTTCTTTTTCTTTTTCTGTTCTATTCAATTGTTTTATTTTTATTTTAAAATGACCCTCTAACACTAGCATTCCCTATTCTTTCTACTAGTTTTCTTTTTATTTATTATAAAAACAAAGCAAACAAAAAACCTTGCTACGTATACTGTCAGGTGAAGCCCCACCCACGAACCCCACCTCCTACTGTCCTTTTTTTGGAAAACTAAAATATGGTCACCCTATTATAAATATACTTAATTATGAAAATACCAGAGATGGCTTAAATAACACAGATAAACTATGTTGTCGTAATCGAGTGTTTATTGTCTTTGTTTTATCATTCAAAACGTTTATATGTTCCGTTTACTCAGTTACAGATATAATAGCGATGCCTTTGTCCATATAAGGGATTTCCTGGAGGGCCATGAGTTCTCTACTTCTGTGACTGGATATGTGGATTTTCAATCATTTTGGGGGGGGGGATTTTTATTTATTTTTATTTTTTATAAGTATCAGTTCAGGCACCGGAACCGTTTTAAAAGTATCTATTTGGCACCGGTATCGAGAAAAAAAAACAAAAAACAAACGATACCCAACCCTATTCCAAAGGAATTATTAAAACAGAAAACAGTTATTTTAAATTGTAATAATATTTTTAACATTACCATAACATTACCGTTTTATTGTATTTTTGAAGTAAATGCAAAATTAAGAAACTTTCAAAAACATTTAAAACTCTTAATGAACCCAAACTTTTGAAAGGACGTGTAAATTGGCGTACCATTATTAAATTGCGTAGCCAACATTAAATTGCGTAGCCAACAAGCACGAACAGTGTAGTCTGATTCATGCACAAATGACTCCCATAAATCAATTCTTTTCAATAAATTGGTCAAAAATACTCAAACTTTTTAGTTATCAAGTGTACTTCAGCCTTTATAATTGCCGACTGGTTGTTCATGTGTCGACGTGTAGTTAAAACTATATCAGAACTATTTTGTCATTATAAACAGTGCATGAATTAAATTGTGGAAAAAATGCAATACATTTATACTATACAGTTAGTACACAGTCTAATTATTTAGAAAATATTGACATTTTTCTTAGCTCTCATTGGCATTACAGTTCCTGAAAAAAGCTGCAATGTTTTATTTGCGAACAAAATATTAACACCAGTTCACCAATTGAACCAAATGATTCATTCAAAAAATGACTCAAAAGAACCATTCATTTATGAATTAGATATTACTTTTCTCAGAAAAATGCCAGAGAACTTGCATTTTTCATTTTGTAGAGAATAATGATTTAAATTTTACTTTTATAATCCTATTGTTTGGATACAAAAGACTTTGAATTCATTGTAACAGTAACAGCGATCAGTACATTACATTTGGAAACACACACATTAATGACAATTTAAATTTTTGGGTGAACTATCCCTTTAATATTCCCATTCCTAACTGCCGTTTCCGTTCACATGAAAGAGCCAAGCCTATATTCATGTTTTATATCTGTATATAATCCTCTTGTTTGAAAAGTAAAGATGTACAACAGCCTTTTCAGTTCAGCAACATCAAAAAACAAAACCTTCCACAGCCTCAGGTGAGCATGATATTCAGCATCCACATGAAGGTGACTGTGAGCAATTATTCATTAAATTAATTCCTGAAAGCCAATCCACCGACCCACATAATTGGGGTGATGTCTACAGCACTCTCAGTCATGACAGAGGCCAAAAGCCAAGAACATCCGAGCTTGTGCTGCGTTACATGGCGCTGGATTGTTTGTGAATAAAACAAACGATTTCTCCCATCATTTAGAAAAGAAACACCCCATCACGTACCTACAGGCAATAATAGCTGCATCGCTACTGCAGTTACGCATATGTGCGAGAAAATACAGTGCATCTGTAATCCCGCGTTACTATGCTTCTGCAGTTTCGGAGACAAATAAAAGCAGACAACTGTTAGACACGGTGTACAAGCTATGACACAATCTTCACTGCAAGCCAGAGGAGCGTGTGATGAAGTTTCCATAAGCATCTGATAATGCTGTGGGAGACGGAGGACGGTCAGACACAGTGAGGCAGCTTGTGCAAAGACGCCGAGTAAAGAGCAGATGGCCTCGCTGCCTCCAACAGAACAATGGCTCCCAGGGAATCCACCGTTGACCAATCGTTGAGTGGCAAAAAAAATGCTCAGATGCTCGTTTCAGCCTCGTGTGCCACCGAACACTAGCGGAAACAGCAGGACAGGCCAGAGAAAGGCAGTAAATCTTAGTGCAGTATGCGTTGAATGAGCGTGTCTTTGATTCTTAAATTGGTGACAACAGGGACAGCAAACAAACATTTGAAAGGCTATAATCAAGATCTTATTACTGATGTCAAAAAACTGGAGGCCACAAAGAATGCGGCAGCAGAAAAATGTTGATTGAAGCATGAGAGCATTTTAAACACTTTAAAGAAGGTCATAAGCAGCATATTGCCAGGTTGCAATGTCAAGTGCTTTGACAACAATTTCCTAACAGCCAACTTCAACTGCTTCATAAAGTTAAAACTTCAAAGAATGCAAAGCGTGTATGCATTTTAATAAAATAGAACCTCCACAGAAAGAGTTTGTAACAGTATTTTACAGAAAAATATGTACAGAAAATTTGGGAACGAATCAAAGTAATCATCATTAGTTGCATCTCTAACAATATATATTGCAACTGCAACTAAATATTATTTTGTTCATGGACTAATCTGTCATTTGATGTTGTTTAAAAAGGTTTTTATTAAATAGCCTTTTTTATGCTAAACATACACCACTCGTTCAACGCATACCGTTTTTATAAAATTAATACTTTTATTTAGCAAGGATGCATTAAATTGATCAAAAAATGTATCACAAAAATATTAAGCAGTACAACGGTTTTCAACTTTGATAAGAAATGTTTCTTGAGCACCAAATCAGCATATTAGAATGATTTCTGAAGGATCATGTGTAACTGCAAACTGGAGTAATGATGCTAAAAATTCAGCTTTGCCAAAAAATAAAATTTCACATTAAAATAGAAAACAGTGGTTTTAAATTGTATAACATTTCACAAGATTACCGTTTTTTACTGTATTTCTGATCAAATAAATGCAGCCTTGGTGAGCATAAGAAACTTTTTTATAACTATATGTTAGGATATGAAAATGCATCAATCTGGTACACTTTAAGAGTTCAAAATTAAGAGCTCCAACCCATTTTCAGTGACCAAATTGAATAGAGTTAAAAAGTCTTGTACCTGGACTTTACAGTGGACTCAAAGAGATGGAGTTTGCTATACGCCAAAAACACTGGATCACCAGCTGATTGAGTGAGCAAAGTGATTTCTCTGATTTGAACACAGTGCTACAGATTATATATTTATTCAATTAAATCACTGTCTTTACACTGTAAAAAATCCCTGTAAATTTACAGCATAAATTTACAGTACTGAACTGTTTTCTAAAATTACGGTGTCTAACCATAAATGCACATGTGATCAGTGGGGGAGGGGAACCGACACATCGAGGAGCATCGGTTTCAGTGAAAGTTTTATATGCATGGATTTCATCTCAAGTTGAAGCTCATTTACAAGTAAGCAGATCAGAGGCTGAAATAAGTTTATTTGATATATTTATTTATTATGTGGGCACAATCTTTTAATTTGCCTTTGACAGATTGTTGCCAACCCTGAGGTTTAAGACGGTGAATTAGCGTTAAGTTAAGTGTGTGTGTGTGTGCGCGTGCGTGTAAGAAAGAGAGAGAGCGATTCTTGCAGCTAATTGCATGTTTTGTTGTTTCCTGGTGTAAAATCCTGTAAATGTTAACCTTATATAGAGGGAAATATAAAATACTTGCGTTCGGTGGGGGAGGGGAGCAATGGTTAGCTTTTGATACCAGTGAGAGAAGCGTCGGTCTCAGTGGATATATAGCCTAAATGGATTTTATCTCAAATTGAAGCTCGATTACAGATAACAGGGATCTGAAGTAAGTGTGTTTGCTTGATTATCTGAAACAATTAACTTATTTGCACAATCTTTATATTTGCGTTTTGCATTGGCGCCAACCCAGTGTGGTTTAAAATGGAGGATTTGCTTAATTTGCATTCTTGTTCCTAAGTTAGGCGTGTGTAAAGTTGGCATATATTAACCTTATATATAGGGAAATCGAAAATAGGCGTGTAAACTTAATTTTACTAAGGAAGCATATAAACTTGCCGCCTTTTGCATGAGCACTTGACTTGATCGGTGGAGGATGGGGAGAAACGTTTGCTTTTTCGGAGTGATGCATTCTCAGTGGAAGTGTTGCGCGGATTTCATCTTAACAAGTCATATCTAAAGCAATTTAGAGTGTAATCTAAATATATTCTAACTTATTGTTTATTAAGTGGGCTTTGTATATGAGCACATTTTAATCGCAGATTTTGCACTGGATAAATTGGCGCAAACCGCGTACAAAACCTCTATATGTTACTTCATTCTGACACTTACATTATAACTTGTTCCTCATACTCGGATACAGTTGTGTATGTGTGTGTGTGAGAAGGAGAGAGCGGTAGACAGAATATTTTTAATTGTTTAATACGTGTTTTGAATGAAAAGGTGAAGCATGTCCTGTCCCAGGCTGAGAACATAGAGATGGCACACCTGCTTGTCAAGATTCTAATGTCCCACTTCCAGGAACATGAAGATGGACTGGTTTTGCATGCAGACGTAAGTATTTAATTTTCTTCTTTCCACTTCACTAAATTATATTATGTATTCTTATTTGTGTATTGTGTGTTCTCTACAGGTTGCTGCATCTGCATCTGATGTTGAGAAGACACTCAATCTGCCTGCCAGTCCTCGTCTGATTTTGCTGGGTTAGTGTGTCATTACATGTGATGAAGTAGAAACATTTACTAATGGTTGAGATATAAAATTGTTAACATTGCTATGGTACACGATTGTTAAAATTGAATTTTCTTGAAGGTAGTTCTTTGAAATGAGTTGTGAAAAAAATGTGTTAATTGTTATTGTTTTTATTTATTTATTTATTTTTATTTTAGGTATGGCAGAGCCGGCAAATGCTGTATGGTAGATGATAAGCCTAGAGGGCTGTGTTATTTGTGAGTGTGTCCAGTCAACATTTTTGACTGCAGTTGCAACAGTGTTTGCTGTGTACTACATCTTCAACCTGCAGTATCAAGAGGAGGCTTGTTGCACGTTAGAATTTCTTCAAAGGTAAGTATTTTCCTTTTTGCTTATGTTTTTTTTTCACTCTCTTAGAATCTATGGTAACACTTTATAATAAGTATACAGTA